ATATACCAACATTTTGCCTTCAGCTGATCTTTGGCGGATCGGCCGACAACTCTCACCAACATAAGTATATGCGAAGAGGAGTTGGGTTTTGAGGAATTTCTTCTTTTTTCCATTTCGAGTGTAAGTGTTTGTTGAAGATATACGAAGGTCGATTCCGCCAAAAGACGTAGGCGGATTCCTTTGACCAGCTATCCATTGGCTTTGCTGGAACCTTCATGTTGATGCTGTTTCCGAGGAAGTCTCCTTCGATTCTGGCGAAAACGTGCTAAGCTTTCGTCCGTCATATGACGAACATCATCAGAACAAGGCATCATCCTTACAACCAAACTCGAGCTAACAATTCAAGAAAACTTACCAGCACATCCCTAAAAAGCGGTATATATACTTTATATCTGGTCACTTTGACGAGGTATACATTAATTTGGTTAGTTCAGTCATATGTCGACCTCGAAGCATGTGAGTATATCTGTCTCTGTATATGTATCTGCCTGTTTTTGTTCGCACATACATGAAACCAACAGTGATGGCTCACAATAATTAGGGCAGCAAAAGTAACGTCTGTTTTCGGCCATCAAGATTTGTTGACAACTATCTTCCCCTTTCTGATTGCGCAAGGTCGGACACACGTCTGGTTATGTTGATGAGCCTTTTTGTGGCTTCAAGAACCGAATTTCCAGAAAGAAATAGCATGTTGTAATAATACTTAACTTCCACTCTAACCATACTAATGGAATGAAGATTAGAATACTCCAAAGTATGAAAATAAGCGGCCAATGGCTCACTGATTCTGAGTTCTGGGAAGAGGAAGCAGGTATACATAAGAAGCAATAAACGCAACACGTGGATGGTGATGGACAGATTGGAGTATGGAGATTATGAAAAGGAAGCATGTGAAATGGAGGAAAAACCTTGGATATGTTTACCCTCCTGCCCATTGGCTCGGAAGCTGCGGCCGATGATACAGAAATGGAAGATTCGTACAATCATGAATGGAAGGACAACCGTCTTCGCCAGCTTGTCCACCCAACTTGAAGATGCCAATAAAATCGAGTGCTCCGGAGCCTACAGAATAAACTGCAATAACTGTAAAAAAATCGGAGAGATTGGAAGGACAACAAAAAAGGAATAAAAATCACCAGCGACTATGCAGAAAAATGGATTCGGAAATGTCGGAGATAGCTGAACCCATCGCTCTTGCCGGCCACAC